TCTCTTCAGTTATCTCTTGCTTACTATTTAACCTGCATTTTGAATTTACTCAGTGCTTATATTTTATTTCTTTCTTTTTCAGTTCTACCCATTTTCATAGATTCTGTTTGTTCCTTTATCACTGTGAACATTTTGCACATATTCGAAACCTTTCAGATTGCTTTATTTGTGATTTCTAGGTTGTTACTACCTGGTTTATTGTGTTTGTTGACCCACTCTAAGAATATTGGGTTTTCTTATGTGCACTGTAGTTTTATTGTGTGAGCTTATCTTCAGTGGGAGTCCCTCTTGTGCTCTGGGTTGGGAGGCATTCTTATGAGATGATTTTCTGTTTGTAAGGTTTCAGAGAAGTTTTTATTAGTTTCCTGAATTGGCATACTGTGCAGACCATGCAAATTTTGGTGACATATCTATGTCAGAAGCTACTTTGGGGTTTTCACTTATTGTGGATAATTCTAGGGCTAGCAAGGAGTTTAGGCTATCGGTCTTCTAAAGCCTGCCCGTGGCCTTATGGAAGGAGTTCAGTTTCACCTTTTAAACTTTGTCTTCCTGTTTCCAACAGTGGCTGTGGTCCACTTCCATCAATGCCTTACCACTTGGGCTTTGAGTTCCCATTTTGTTTCTGGCATTTCAAAATTTCTTCTTCTTAATTTCTTCTTCTAGGCTTAATTATGTATTTTTCAAAATACACTTCAATTTGTTACATTTTCCCATTTCTGTGTTTTGAATTGGAGGGGTCAAGGAGTCTTTCCACATTTGCTTAGTCATCTGTCTTGGATGAAAGTCCACCAGACAGCTTACTGAAATTAAATTCCACTTAATCTAACACTGAAGATAAACTAGTTTGCAGACCTGTGTATTTTGGCCTTTTAAAAAGAGTCTGAAAGGGCCGCGGGTTAGCTTAGTTGGTTACAGCATGGTGTTGATAACAACAAGGTCCAGGGTTCGATCCCTGTACTGGCCAGCCATCAAAAAAAAAAAAAAGACTCATTCTTATACCCCAATAAAAATTTATAGTTAATTGACATTTAAAAGAAACCAATTTAGTAAGCGTGAATGGGTCTCTCAGAATTTGAGCTTTGAAATCAGTTCTAGGGACATTATGCATAAAACTGGTCAGTAGCTTGGCTTTGAAGTTGGGTGGCAATTTTGTATAATGATCAGAACTCACCATGGCAGCTAGCTCTGAGTGATTGAGTTGGGAGCATACTCATCTGATATACGCTAATTATAAGAGGCACTCACTCATGAACTCACTTGGAAAATGTAAAGAGGTTCTTATTTCAAAGCAAGCATTTATATAATTTTTTAACTTGTTGATAAATATAGAAGCAAATAGCAAAAAGATCCCTAAAGAACTTTCAACTTTTTTGTCTTGGGCTGGAGTTACCCTGGCTGCTGGGTAATCTGTCAGAGGTAAGTAGTCAGCATAGGAGTGGATTTTGCTGGTGTCTGCAGACTTGCATTTATTCCTCTGTGTTTCACTGGGCCTTCTTCATGCCTCAGGTTTCTGAATTTCAAGCTTCTGTGGAAATCTTTTCAACAAGTAAGAGTCTTTCTCAGATGTATCCCATCATTTTTTGTGTACTTTGGGCTGGGTTTCTTCTGTACTGTTCAGTTATCTTTTTCCATCTAAATTTCTTAAAATTGCTTGCATACTGATTTGTGTGCCTTGCCTCTTCCTCCACACTCATTATTTTGGATATGTGTTAATCTTCTAAATTCCTTAATATCATTTAGTGGGAATTTAGAATGAGAAAAAAATGAATTTTGTGTTGTCATAAACTGTGATGTCAGCCTGCCAGATTGAATTGGAAATTTATAAGAATCAGCTTACTGGGTTTCAAAAAATGTAACACCTGGTAGAATTGCATTCAGTCATTCAATTGCAAAGGTATAATGGATACTTTTATAATTCTGAGTCTTTCTTGCTCAGAACATAGAATGTCTCTCCATCTTTTGTGTCCTTCAACAAAAATATTCCTTCATTTAGCTGTTGCAAATTTCTCATTAGCTTTTTCAGTATTTTATGTATATGTAATCATATTTATGTATAGATTTTTCTATCTTTTATAGTCTCCTATTCTTTTTTTTTTTTAAATTTCTGAACTTTGCACATGTTATTCTCAGTTTGCGTGCTCTTTCCTCCTCCTTAGTTGAATTGGGGGTCCCTAAAACCAGTTTCAGGGATGGTCATCTGTTAGAATGCCTCACAGGACTCAGAAAAACTGTTACTTTTATGGTTGTGTTTTATTATAGTAAAAGTACAGATTAAAATCAGGAAAGAAAAAACATGCATGGTACAGAGTCTAAGGGGAAGCATGCATAAGCTTCCAGATGTCACCTTTCAGTATAGTTCAACAGGGTGGTGCTTAATTATTCTGTAACAATGTAGGACAATATAGAAGAATACGGTTAAGGATCCCTATTCTGAAAATTTATAATCCAAAATGCTCTAAAATTTGAAACTTTGACCACTGATATGACTCTGCAGGTGGAAAATTCTACACCTGACATTTCAGATTTTTGGATTAGGGTTGCTCAACCTGTACCAGATATTCTGGTGAGGCCACTGTGCTGCACAGTTAACCTTGGACACATTATTTTTTCACTCTATTAATGGTATGTCACATTTTTTACTGTTAAGTGCTTATGGGTGAATAAGTATAAGAACATGATTGCTTATCTGTAGCATATAAATTCAAAGTCGGGAATGATGTTGATGCCAAGCAAGCACAGATTGTCCACATGGGTGGCTGAGATAATGACACCCTTGCTTTCTGATGGTTCAATGTATACAAACTTTCCTTCATGCACAAAATTATGAAAAATATTGTATAAAATTACCTTCAAGCTATATGTATAAAGAGTATATGAAACATAAATAAATTTTATGTTTAGACTTGGGTCACATCCCCAAGATTTCTCATTATGTATACACAAATGTTCCAAAATCTGAAAAAAATCTGAAATTTGATACATTTCTAGTCCCAAGTATTTCGGGTAAAGGATACTTCACCTGTATTGCCAAGCAGGGAATCTCACCTGAGCTTTGGTGTCTAGGGTTTTTTTTGGGGGGGGGACCAGTCTCTTAGGCATGCAGCCCCCACAAGACTGACATCAGCTGCTTGGACTCCAGTCCACCCAGTGGTCAAAGTGAATACAGCATGGTCCAAGGCCTCAGGCATACTAAAATACACATTCCCCTAAGTCACACTGTTAGCATAAACTTTCTGGCCAAACTGATAAACTGTGGCCTCAAGCATACAAAAATACTCGGATCAAGCATAATATTCCATGGGTTCAAAGGTCATCTCCCAGGAGCCAGTGAAGGGCTGGTCCTGAAAGTAGGCCTTTCTTAGGAATGTGCAGGGTTTGAGCAACCCAGGCCAGCCAAGGAAACTTCCTTACACAGTAAATGCATATTCATTCTTCAAGATCCTATTTAAGTGTCATCATCTCTTCAGGGAAAACTTAATTTGATTCACCCTAAGAAGAGATAGTTGCTCCCATATCTTTGCCCCTACAGTTACTTATACTTATATCCTTTCTAGGTTTATATTATACTGTGTTTCTTAATTCATTGCACCTCAAGCGGGAAAACATTTATTTATTTTTTTCCCTTTCTTTTCACTGTGCTATTCCTTCATTTGGTTTGAAAAATTACTTTTGTGTATTTCCTTTGAGCAAGATCTTTGTAAGCATTTTGCATACAATTTTTTTTGGTGAAATATGTAACAAATATACTATCCAAAACAATATTTTGTTTTAAATGTACAGTTAAATGTTTGAGTTTATTTTAAAAATCTATATATTTCTTCTGGGTGACTCTGATATTCCTACTTTTAGAATGACATTTTATTTATGTTTTCATTTTCCATCGGAACCAACTGTACATGGTCCTGTAGTTTGTGTGCTACATAACTCTTGGGGACTTGGTTTATATCCCAGTCTATATAGTGCTTCCTGTAGTTGTGTACATTATAAACTGTAAAAATTATGCAGTAGTCTTTAACCCTTTCTTGAAGGCAAGGATTGTGTTATTGGTGCCCTATCCTCAATTCCATGGCTAACACAGTAATCAATTTGTCGTGTTGACTCTAGTGCTGTTTTTCAGTTCTCAACTTCAGCTTCCGTGTTACCTCAGCAGTTTATCTGTTCTGATAGATACTAGAACACTAGAATGTGAAGGCACAGATGATCTTTCTTCTCACTTTAGCATAAATTCAAGTATCTCTGAACCAAGTCAGAATTTATAAGATAATTGTGTATTAGTTTTCTCTTGCTGCTATAACAAAATTACTACAGACTTGATGGCTTAAAACAGTACACATGTTATTCTCACTGTTCTTGAGGCTAGAAGTTTGAACTCAGTTTCACTGGGTTAAAGTCCAAGTGTTGGCAGGACTGGTTCCTTCTGAAGGCTCTGGGGGAGAATCTGTTTCCCTTTCTTTCAGCTTCTAGTGGTCACCTATTTTTCTTGGCTTATGGCTCCTTTCTTCATATTCAAAGCACATCACTCTAATCTTTTCTTTCATTATCATTTGCCTTCTGCTCTTCTGTAGTCTGATCTTCCTCTGCTTCCCTCTTAAAAGGTCCCTTGATTACATTTAGGGTCCACTGGATAATCCAGAACTATTGCCTCATCTCAAAAGCTTCAATCACATCTGCAAAGTCCCTTTTGCCGTGTAAAGTAACATTCATAGGTTCCAAAGAATAGGACCTAGATTTTGGGGGGAACCATGTTCAGCAAACCACATATTGTAATAAAGTAGCAAAAAATTTTTTTTGGCATATAATGCTTGTTTTCTCTTCCTAAATAGGATATCATTTTTTCCCCCAGTGGAATAACTCATTGGGTTATTTTACTCAGTTCTTGATGCTCATTTCTTTGGTCTTGCCTGTGACATATGAATGAATGTTTCTATATGGGCATTATGTACAATTTCCGTATTTTTTCCTGAAGAATATTTTTTAATGATGTCATTTTGTTTGTGTAGTTGGTGTAATACGGTGCCCAGTATGCCGCCAAGAATGCAGACAGATAGACCTTGTGGATAATTATTTTGTGAAAGACACATCCGAAGCTCCTAGCAGTTCTGATGAGAAATCAGAACAGGTATGCTTCTCAATTTTCTTTATAATCCTTTCTTGATATCAAAACATAAATTATAAGAAAAACATGTTTGGACAGTTAAGTAATTTGGGTTAGTTCCACTATAGTTCTGTCTTTCAAAATGAAAATAAAGGGTGTTTTTTTTTTTTTTTAACATTCTCAAACTTGGTTAAATAAGACTAAAGTCAAGTCATTACTTAAAGAGTCAAATCTTGCATAGACTTTGTGTTCTGAGCATTAGATTTTTACCTACCAGAGTGTTTGATCTGTAAGTAAAAGGATTTTGTTGAAGATAAATGGAAAACAAATAAAATTTTATTCTGTGTACAGTGAATTAGCCAGTATATTTGAGAGCAGGTTAGAAAGTTGTCACCTTTCTTATTTTGTGGATCTATATTTTGTAAATTTAATGTATATTAGTATTTATTTCCTCTTTTAGGTATGTACTAGTTGTGAAGACAATGCAAGTGCAGTTGGCTTTTGTGTAGAATGTGGAGAGTGGCTATGTAAGACATGTATTGAAGCACATCAAAGAGTAAAATTCACTAAAGATCACTTGATCAGGAAGAAAGAAGATGTTTCAGGTAAGATAGATACAGTTTTAATTATTGCAGTTAACCTCCCTCTTTTGCCCTTATAGCATTTCCTACTTATTTTTAATAAGCTTTGGATACCAACGTCAATAAGAATTTAGGAAATTAGACAAATTTTATGTTTAGTTGAAAAATATTTGTTTTATTTTGCTACAGAGTCTGTTGGAGCATCTGGTCAGCGCCCTGTTTTCTGCCCTGTACACAAACAAGAACAGTTGAAACTTTTCTGTGAAACATGTGATAGACTGACATGTAGAGACTGTCAGCTATTGGAACACAAAGAACATAGGTACAGAATGCATAATTGCTCTCAACAACAACAACAAAAATTATAAAAAAAGTGCTTGTAAAATTAAGTGTTCTTCTTAAAGCAAATATTGATCCCATAATTTTGTCTTGGAACATTTTAAATCTAAATTCTTTATATTTCTTGAAATAATATATGTTTGATAAATTATTTATTGGTTTCCATGTTCAAAATTGTCTTATGAATATTTGTTAAAATATATCATTATGTGCATTTGGGTTTGCAAGAATGGATTTATATTATTTCTTTGTTTGCTATTCCTGTTTAGTAATAAGCTTTTTCCAAATGTAATGTAGTATTTAGGCTATAGGCTATAATCTGAAAAGGCAGTATTCTCATGAGTAGGGCTGATAACCATTTTAACATCAGAGCATAAATATACTGATTTCATGTTAGATGTATAATTTGCAGAAAAGCTAGAGATTTATAATCAACTAAATAAACATAGTTACTAACTCTTTGATACATAGCTTTGTATTTTAACCCTGTTTTACCCTCAGAATTCAGTAGTATTCACTTATTATGAGTCTGTTTCATATGAGCTGTTTTGGAACTGTAACAAAATTTGTCGTTAGGTATATAACAAAATCCTTCAGTAAATTTCCCCAGCTTCCATGGCATCTATTTATTACAAGTAAATGGTGGTCCAATGTTCTAAAGTAAAATGATGGTGTAGTTTTCTAAGGTGTTTTTCTAAGAACAACTTTTCTGGATGGATGGAAATATGTTTATGAATCTGTTACCAAAAAAGGATAGGAGAGGTTGGGTTAAACACTCTTCAGTGTGTTCCTTAGCTGTATGATATGATTTCGTAGAGTTTTTAATTCATTAGAATTCATTGAAGTTAATTAGAATCTTCTTATAGAGGGGACACAGTAATCCTAATTACAATAATTATTGAATTCTTACTTTGTGCCAGGCACTTTCGTGAATGTTGAATGTTCATTTAATTCACACCAGCTACCCTTGAGGGGTTTAGGTACTGGTATTATGACTGTTTTAAAGTCGAGGGAAGCCTACTCATGGAAAGCTTTAGTAATCTCTCTATAAGGTCTCCCAATAAGTAGTATAGCCAGGATTTGAACACAGGCAGTCAGAACCCAGATCTCTTCTTAACCTGTATGCTCATTTTTTCCCATATGGTATAGAGAATATAGAATACGAGATACAGAAGGTAATACTTTTTGTTCTTTATCAAGGCACTTCTTACTGTTCTACAGAACATTTATCAAACTTTTGCACCCTTAATTTGTTCACATTTGTCTCATCTTATCTGCACCTTGGCTGATGTTTTACTTGAACTTACTAATCTTGTGGATGCCTTCACCTCAGGGCCAAATCTTACTGTTGGTTGTCTTCTAACAGTTTCAGTAAGATGTTAGATTACCTTTCTCACAGCTATAGTCAGATCTTTTTTGAGCCCTTGGATTTCTTATAGCTTTTTAAATTGGTGGTAAGAGGCAAAAAGAAAAGGAAGATGGCATACACTTCCCCATGAAAAGGATAGCTTCAACAGCCCCTTCTTTTCTTTCTTTTGCCGTTTCCCTTTACCCCACGTATCTATAAGTCCTGATTATCTCTTGAATATGTCCTCTTGAATATAGGAAGAACAAACTTTCTCCTACTATACTCCCACTCAACATAGAACACCTCTGTGACCATTTGTGTTGTTTTTTCCCACATTGCTCAATTCTCTGACACTAGCTGGGTGTCCTAAAATTTAATTCAGTTCAATTCTGACAGCATGCAGGAGCTAGTTTAGACTGAAGCATGAAAACTGAGGACCCCATGAAGGAAGCCTCCAGGAAAAAAATGGAACCATGTTTATTAAATTTCTTATATTGGGTTATTTGAAAAATAATGTTGACAAGATGCAATAGATCATGGGAGAAACATTAAGAGATTGTCAGTGTGGGGCAAAATGGAACCTACAGATTTGAAGTGAATTTGCTTCTTCTGAAATGAATGGTCACTCTGAGATCACACTCTGACTTCAGTCCTCATCTGGAGTGGACATGGAGTTGACTTAGTGGAAGTAGAATTTCTTTTCCATTGACAGGTTATATAGGAAGAAACCCCAGACTCAATCCCTCTTTACCATTAACATTTGTAGCCTTTCCATCATAATTGCCATAAATCTAGCGCTAATATTTTTTGGTTTTTTTAGGTTATGCTTCTTTTTAAAAATTTTTTATTTTTTATTTATTTTTAATTGAAACGATTGATTATACATATCTGTGGGGGTACAGCATTGAATATCAATATCTGTGTGCAGTACGTGATCCTCTAATTAAGTAATTTATCCTTATTTGTCACCCAAGAAAGTCTTATATTCCCAGGTGTCCCCTCATCTGTCATACTTTAATTCTCTTTAGGCTCTGCATGTGCCCAATTTTGTCCCTCTCTGCCACTTTGTCCTCTGGAATTCATTGTTTGTCAGCAGCAGAATCTCTATATTCTTAACTACTTCTTTGATCCTTCTTTCTGCCTTCTTTGGTGTAGTGGACACTGCTTCCCCTGCAGTCCTTTTAACTGATGACTGTTTTTTCTTTCACATCTCATGTATCAGTGAGCCTGGAGATATGAGGTATGTCTTCTTTTTGCTGTTGTTTAGAACATTCTTCTTTCTTTGAAAATCTCCAGATTTTAATTTCATGTCATCATCCATAGCCCCTCATTGTTGCTGTATTTAAAAACCTTTGAGTCATTCCCCTTCATCTCATTCCTAACTTAATGGTAAACTGTGAAGTACTACTAATACCCCAGTTCCTGGAAATTTTAGTATACACAGATTTGATCTTTCAGACACCCTAGTCTTTGTGTTCATTGAAATCCTTTCCAATTGGTATGCTTTTCCTTTACATTATGGTAGCCTCTCAACACATGTGATCATATGCCACACTTTGTCATTTCCAATAATTGTATTCTATTTCAAGCATTCCTCTTGGTAACCACCACTCTTATCATTCCAGCTAATTCTGCTTAGTATCAGACTTTTGCAATTATTCAACCATTGATCCTACTACCCTTTCACTTTACCTCAGCCTTTTGTGTTCTCATTTAACCCTTTCTCAGTTTAATTTCATGGCTAATCATTTTAATCACTCCCTTGCATTAGCTTTGACTCTCATATCCCACTTTTTGAACTCACTTGGCAAAACTACAGTCCTAATTAAACCCAACTTCCCTCCTGTCATGCTTTGTTTATGCAGCTGAACATCACAGGAGAAAAATACATTATGGCATAGTGATCCCAACTGGTCTCATTATCAATTCATGAGAACTTTCCTCAAGTAGACCCTTAATGTTGTCTGGAAATCATATTGTGTATTTACATCTTCTCCTGTCTTAAATGTTCAACACTTCACCCTCCATCCTCACTCCCAGATATTAACATTGTTTCCTACTTCATCGAGAAAATTGTAGCAATCAAAAGAGAACTTCCACAGACTTCCTCTACCTCAACTATTTCTCTACCAAGCATCTGCACCCACATTTCTACATTTCTGTCTGTTATCTTAGTTGAACTCATTTTCTGTAGAAAGCCAGTTTCTCCACTTATTACTGGATGTAGCCAAGGATATTGTTTCAGCAGCCCTTCTCTCTGCTGAGTTGTCAGTTTTTCAGTTTCTAGCAGTTATTCTCATCACTTTTCAATTTTTTCTTCCATTTTAAAAAAATTCTTAGGATTTATTACTTTTGCTAGTTATATTTCAGAACAATTTTTTAAAAAGAAAATGTAGTTTTATTAATATTATTTTTTTACATTCAAATGAAAGAAAACAAATCCTTCTCCTTAAACCACTTTCCCTTCCAGCACTGTCCCTGTTCCTCTTTATGGCAAAGCTTTTTGAAAGGATTGCTTATAATCACAGTCTCCAATTCTTCCTGTCCCATTCTAAAACATACACGCTTTTGACTGTCAGCATTCTACCAAATTGTTCTTTTCAAGGTTACAGATAACCACTGCATTACTAAATCTAGAGGTCATTTCTCAGTTGTCATATTCATTTGACATGTTTGATCATTCCCTTAATATATTTTATTTACTTGGCTACCAGAAGGCCACATTCATTGTTTTAATTTTCTTTCTTCCACACTAATTACTTCTCAGTCTCATTTGCTTATTTTCCTGGTTTTCCTACTGTTGGATGTGCCAGAGCTTACACCATTGTTTACACTTACAGTTTTATTGCTTTAAATACCATTCATATGCTGACGATATCCAAATTTATATTTCTAGCTCAGTACTCACTCTTGACCTGAACTTTCAGATTTGTCTGTCCTGCGTACGCTGACATCTCTGCTTGAATGTCTGCTTTTTTAAATATAACGTATCCAAAACTGAACTACTGATCATTTTCTCCAAACCCTTTTCTTTGGCAGCCCTGCCCCATCTCAGTTTGTGGCAGTTGCACTTTTTCAGTTGGATAGGCCAAAAATCTTGGCACCATCCTTGACTCTACTCTTTTCTAAAACTTACCAATTTTGGCTCCACCTTCAAAATATATCACCAAATCCCACAACTTCTTACTACCTCCATTGCTGCTAGCCTCATCTCAGCCACCATCATTTCTTGCCTGGATTTCTACAGTAGTCTCCTGAGTCACTTCCGTGCTTCTAATATTGACTCCCTTTAATTTATTCTTAACAAAATGGCTTAGAGTGAATCTCAAGTCAGACTGTGTCATGCCCCTGCTCTAAACCTGCATTGGCCTTCCAGTTTAGCCAGAGTCTTTGTACTATAGTGGCCTAAAAGACCCTACACATGCACTTTATCTACTACTGCTACTCTCAGTTTCCCTCTCCCACTGCTATAGCTACACTGGCTTCCTTGCTGTTTCTCAAGCATGTCAGGGACCCTGCTGCTCTGCCTGTTTCCTCAAATCCATCAAGTCCGTGGTTAAATGTAACTGTGTCAATGAGACCTACTCTGATCACTCTATTTAAAATTGCTGTTTGCCCCTTTACTGCTCATCTTC